AAAACCTACCTGGTGGGGGGGGAGACAGGAGGACGTAAGGGCCAGTCTCAGCTACAAAGTGAGTTCTCTACCTGGCCTACATGAGATCCTGACAAGGAAGAAGTCAACCTCAGCGAAGCTCAATTTCCTATTTCTGAAAAGCAGTGACCATAGCCTTAAGCTGGTTCTGCTTATAACCTAGATACAAAAAGGAATGACAAAATATAGCTGAACCACCTTTCTGTGGTTCCAACCTGGTACGGTTCCATGCTCTGCACCTGCATACCTCAGTCCAGAAATCAGTTTGTAACACTGATTTGTTCTAGGACTTCAATGAGACCAAGCATACCTAATGCTAACACCTAGGTATGGTTCCTACTGGGTGCTACTTTACACAGAAGATAAAGACAGTGCACCTCTGCACCTTGTATCATGCAACATGCATTCTCAGTAGAAGGCTACTAAATAATGAAATTTTGTCTGCCTGAGGGATCTAAGAAACCATTTCCATAATTCTCTTAATATGCTAAAACATGAGGACCCTTCAAATCTCTTCTCCTGATCCCAGCATCCAGTATTTCAACTGGAGGACTAGGTACAGCCAGAAGTGGTGGTACAGGTCTTTACTCCAGAGTTAAGGAGGCAGAGACAGGAGATCCTTGTGATTATGAGGCCAGTCACAATCACTATGGAGATTGTGGTCTCCACAGTGAATCCCAGGCCAGTCAGAGCTACACTACATAACGGAGATTTTAATCTCAAAAAAAAAGGGAAGACCAGGGAAGATGGTGGTAGAAACACCGAACTAATATTAAGACCACCTCCCCAATGAACATTCATTTTTAAAAATCACCAAAATACCAGAAGTAGGCTCTCCAGGTCTCTCAAGCACAATTCACTTTTTCTTATACACACACTTAGGGTGGTTCTTAAATTAATTTGTTGCTGGGAATGGTGGTGTATGCCTTTGCCTTTAATCCCCGGACTTGGGAGGCAGAGGCAGGAGGATCTCTGTGACACTGAGGCCAGCCTGGTTTCCATATCGCGTTCCAGGCCAGCTGTGACTACAGGGAGACCCTGTCTCAAAAAGACAAAAATTATTTTATTTGTTCTATAATAGCTACTTCATTAAATATTCTTCAAAAGTCATCTGCTCCCCTCCCTGTATCTCCCCTAAATCTTAGTATCTTCAGTCTTCCAAACACAGAATGGCAAGCTTGAGTCCTCGACTACACTCATTTCCCTCTTCGTCATGCAGTGGAAGTCACCACAACTTGTGGACAGTGCTTTGGAAATATTCTGAATCTCTACCTCTCTTTCCATTCATCTCACTGTCAAAATGGCAAGTCTAAGTCCATGACTGCTCCGCTTCAAATCACCATTTAATCCAATCTGATTATAATGTTAAATCCATTGTTAGGTCATGACCTGAGCTCACTGCACGTTTTCCAGTGTTCATTTCATTCACCTCATCCCTAGCACTTTTCCTCTTACACCCCTTTTCGATGTAGTTACTGATAGTTTAGAGACTTTAATGGGAATTATTAGCCCAGAAAGGATCCAGTTAGCTCCGAGAATCACGAAGGGAACGTCACTGATTAAATTTAATTCATTGTCCCGTATATGTAATGTGGAAACTTTGAGAAACAGCTGCCCAGATATACCCACTGGCGCTTGCACTCCCGGCTCTTGCATGTCAACTGTCCAAGGCGCAGCCAGCACAAACTTAAATCTGAGGCACTGGGCCGGTTTTCAGAGCTCTGCTCGGCTTGGTACCAAACCCAGCTCCCTGAACTGGAGACCGATAGGGCCCAGCGAGGGGAGCTTCAGCTCAGCCTTTCCGAAGCCAGGAGGCGCGGCGCTGTTACCTCTGGCCGTCTCCACGACCTTCGGGAGACCGACCCAAACTCTGGTTTCTGTTCAGCGTTTACCTCTCCGAGCCCAAAGCGACGTGTAAACCCAACTCGGTACCTAGTCATCAACCTTTCCCACTGGACCTTTCCCAGCCCATCCTTTCAGCATGCCGACTCCCCACGCCGGCACTCCACCGTCCCTTTTCCCCTACTTCTACATCCCCAGGATACTCCTCTCTTCCCCTTACCCCTTCTTCGTACACACCTTCTTCGTACAGAATCGGTCCGAACTCCCGATTCCAGCTTGAGCTCCACACCACCTACTTGCAACGTTTAACGCACGTTCCTCTCAGACCGCTCCGCCCCAACGGCAGGCTCCGCTAGGAAAGCAACTTCCGGTTTGAGTCAGCCGCTGGAGTCTCCACTTCCGGCAGCGCTCGGGGCCGGAAAGCAAGCGGGCGGAGCGGGGAAGGCAAGGACGGGAGCACTTCCGGAAGGGCTCCGCAGAGGCGTAGCCGCAGCCGCAGGCGCAGTGGGAACTGCGGCGCTGTGTAGAGGCGGGGCGGGGCGCTGCGGAGCGAGGGTGAATGGCCGGGCTTGTGGGGGAGGCGACGGTTCTGGAAACTGCTGGAAAGAGCCCGAGTGGCGGAGGTGACGCCGGCGGCCAGGGGGTGGGGCGTGATTAAAACTAGTTCGCGGCCCTCAGCGGAGGGATTCGAGGGGGCGCGGCTGCGTCTTGTATGCAGCTGCCTGGAGCGGGAGCCTAGGCCTGACCTGCGTGCGGCCGCCATGGAGCCCGCGCCTCCCGGCGTCAGGCCGGGTAGTCGCTCCCTGAGCCTCCCGCCACCGTAGTGTTCACAAAGGGTCACCACACACGGAGCTGCCCCTCCCTTCCCTAAACCCCACCTTCGAGCCCTCGGGGCTCTTCCATCAGGATTCTGGGTGTTTCTCTTCCTTTCTTCCCTCCCAGATCTGCTAACGGTAAGGGAAGAAGCGAACGCAAGCTAGGGCCGTGGTTTCGCCTCGACCCGCGGAGGCTTGCAGCCCTGCCTGGTCAGCGTCAGAGTGCTGTAGTTGACAAGTTGCAGGACTGCTTTTGTAGGAAGGTCATGTGCTTGACGGACGTCGTGACTGAGTGTGCATTCTAAATCTCGAGTCCAGCCTATTCCAAGTCAGTCCTTTGGGTCGATTGTTTCCGTGTCCTTGGAGAGCGATTTGTAGTTTCTGACCTTTACACGTTTAAGGTTTTGTGTTTTTCCTTTTTTTTTTTTTTAGGAGGTTGCAAACCGCTATATATTGGCATAATGCTGATAATTTTGGTAACTGGTACAGAGCAGACAAGTCCTGTGTAGGAAGAAATGATTAGAAATATCTTAGTTTTCGATACTTAGGAATGCAAATAGGCAACCCAACAAAGACTTTGTTCCGTTTTATTTTGTTTTTTTTTCCTTCTAGACTAAGTTTTGCTGTTTCTGTAGTTGCACTAGATTGTTAATGAACTAGTATATTCTAAGATCGAACTAGTTAGGGTTCTTTTTCTATGAATTACGAATTTTGAGAAAATCATATTTCCTCCTGGAATAGTAGCCCAAACCAGTAGGATTTTCTTGCTCAACATGCTATTTACATTTTTAGAATGCAGTACACTTTTTTCATAATAAGCACTTGCTGAATGTTAATTCATAAATTGAACAAAATAATTGGTTTGGTTGAAATGTAGCTAAACTTTTAAGATTGTAAAGCAACATCACCAAACTAGATTATAATGAAAATCAAATATCTTCTGTAAAGTTGATTATTGTAGTCTTTCAATGAAAATTTGATTTTTTACATTTTATTTGGCTAGAAAATAGTGACAAAAAGGAGGTGGGGTATGAAGAAAGAAAGATCCCTCTTTGTATTAGAGAATAGTAGTCCCCAGTTGGGAAAATACACATTCCTGCTTCTTCCTTACCAACATATTTTGAATGCCTGTTTTATGAATTTTGTTTCCAGAGACTGGTTACCTTCCAATTGGTTAAAATCTGTTGCCTTTGTCCCTTTGTCAACAGTGTGGAATAGAAATTTACCTAGTTCCACTTTTTTTTTTTTTTTTTTTTTCTTTGAGACAGGGTCTCCCTGCAGCCTCAGCTGGCCTGGAACTCTGGAACTCACTACGTAGACCAGGCTGCCCTGGAACTCACAGAGATCCACCTGCCTCTGTCTCCCGAGTGCTGGGATTAAAGACCCGGCTACCTGTTTCCACTTGTAAACATACATTTAATAAAAGGAAACTTTAATACTTACTGAACAGCTATAGTAGTACAGTGCCCTGCAATTAAGAGTTCCTTTTTCACACTCAATTTCTCTCACCAGTTTCCAAGGTTTTTGAACTCTTCTAGGTTGGATTCCTTAACTGAAAAACAAGCCTTTAGCCCCGACCTGGCATATAAATGCAGGCTACCAAGCCAGAGTATACACTTCTGTAGTCCCAGCACTAAGGAACTGAAGGGAAGAGGACTGTGAGTTGGAGGCCATCTTGGGCCACTTAACAGAAATCCCTAAGAAATTTGACCCTATCTCAAAAATAAAATAAAACCTGGCTGGCCTTTAATCCCAGGGCTTGGGAAGCAGAGACAAGTGAATCTCCTTGAGTTTCAGGCCAGCCTGGGCTACATAGTTCTAAGGAGACCCTGTCTCAAAAAGACCAAAAACTATTGTGATTGTCTATTCTGGTCTCATCAGAAACTTCTTGGGATGGGAGATGGCTTCGTGGGTAAATAACTTGCATGGCAATAATCATGAGTGCCTGAATCCTATCCACAGTACCTGTGTAAAAGGCCCTGCCCAGCTGTGTTCCTGTAATCCCAGGCTGGGGAGGTGTGGACAGATGGGTCCCTGGGTCTTGTACAACCAGTCTAGCTGAATCTATGAACTCCAGATTCAGTTAGAAACCGTGTCTCAAAAAATAAGGTGAAGAGCCATAGAGGAAAATACTCCATGTGAACCTCAGATCTCCACACTCATGCACACATCAAAACTTCAAGTAACCAACCTAACTTTCTAGTCCACCATGTGAGCACAGTCTGTAATCCTTATCTAAATCTTACCTTCAGAAAGCTTGGAAAACCAAAACCTTTTTCAATTTGGAGGCAGAATTCATTTGGTAATAAAATATGTGATCCAATAAGAAGCTGTATATGTTCTTTATGTGTTTACTGAAGCATTGATAGGTTTTGCTGGTGCTCTTGGCCACTGGTAGGTAGAGTTTTCTATAATAGTTTGTGTAGTTTATAAATTTTTGGCTATTTTTAGTAGTACTGAGAATTGAACCTAGGGCCCCACACATGCTAGGCAAGTACTCTACTACCCAGCTCTAGACCTCTTTTTCCTTTATATAAACTTTTATTTTGAGACGGGGTTTCACAAAGTTGCCAAGCTAGCCTTGAACTCAATCTGTAGCCCAAGCAGACTTTGAACTTGTGATACCCCTACGTCAGCCTCCAGAGTAGCTGAGGTTTCACTAGACCCTGCTGTAACATTTTTTAATTCTAAGAAAATCTACAATATATCCAACTCTTCAATTTTAGTTAAATAATTGTGAACCTAAGTGGGAGGGGTCACGCCTTTAATTCCCAGAAATTGGGAGACAGAGGCAGGTGGATCCCTGTGAGTTCAAGGCCAGCCTGTTCTATATAGTGAGTTCCAGGCCAGCTGGGCCTACTGGGAGACCCTGTCTCAAAAAAGACCAAAAATAATAATAATTGTGAACCTGTATCTATGTTTTGGGCAATATTCTTGTGCTAGGCATTTTTATGTTTAAAAAACTGGAGACATTTTAGTACTTGTCTTCAGTGAATTCACTTAGGAAAAAATGCTGTTGGTGTACAATTATCAGAATATGCAAAGCTTTTTAAAGTACAACCACATAGCAATCCAAACAATAAATTAGTTGTCCTGAGGTGGTGTTTTGTACTTTGCATTCTTAAAAATTTTGGATAGCCCTTGATATCTGATAATGTAACCCATACATACTTGGTTCTCTTTTGCCTGCCAAAATGAAAAGATAGTGTAATAAAGAGCCTTGGAGCAGACGCTGGGCATCTGCTGTCTGATTCTTTCTCCTCCGCCATTACTTTCACTTGTTTAATTTTGTTGCCTTGGTTTACACATCTATAAATTGAGAAGTTTGGAGAAGAGCATCTTGAGCAAAATGCTTCCACTTCCAACATTACTTGCAGATACTTACTCTTGGAATTACCACCTACTTTTAAAAACTGTTTCCACTAAGGACATAATCTATCTCATCTCAAACTGCTATCCTACAGATCAAAATTTGCTGTTGTTGTTTTGAGTCATACATTCACATGACACAAACTTCATACTGAAAAGTCTGCATGCTACACCAGTCTCCAAGTCACCTGGTTCCCTGCCTAGGAAGTAAACGCTAATCATTTTCTTGTATATTCTTGGGGGCGAAGTATATGTATATACAAGCAGATGAATAGTATTGGTATGAGTTTTGTTTCCCCTTTTTAACATAAATGGTGCATAATATGTACCTGTGTGCCTCACTTACCTTAGAGGATGTTTTCTATTATTGTATAAGGTGTTTCCTCACCTTATATCATTTTGTCAACCCTCTTCTTTTGGACATTTAGGTTTCTTTCAAATCTTGTCTTTTTGTTGTTGTTGCTATGATAAAATACCCTGATAAAAGCAACTTAAGGAAGAAAGGATTTATTTTGGCAATACGCCTGTGCTAGGCATTATTTAATGTTACAGTTGAGTACATTATGGTAGGGAAGTCACAGCAGCAGGAGCTTGAGGCATCTGGTACCACTTAGCTACTCTATTTTATAAAATCCAGGATTTTGAAGCCGCCCATGGAGTGGTGCCACCCATACTGGGAAGGTCTTTTCCCCTCAGTTAACCTAATCAAGATAGTGCTGCACAGGCATATCTAGAGGCAACTTACAAATGTTAAGTTGACAGTGAGATTAACCATCACAGATCTTTATTAAAAGCATTGTACAATAAATGGCATTGTATATTCATCATTTTCCATATATATGGATAGATCTATACCTTAAGCAATAACATAATGAGTTCTGTCTACTGTGATGTATGCATTTCTTGTACCAGTATGATAAAGTTGGATAGTGGAGTCAACATACTATTTGATTCTAAAGTAAAACATAAAAGTAAAATAGGAAATTAAGCCGGGTGTGGTGGCGCACGCCTTTAATCCCGAGTTCAAGGCCAGCCTGGTCTACATAGTGAGTTCCAGGACAGCTGGGGCTACAAGGAGACCCTGTCTCAGGAAGACGAAAAAAAAAAAAAAAAAAAAAAGGAAATTAATCACATCACCTGAATGACTTCTTCATTTTGAAACAGAGAGGAAGATTGTATTTGGGAAC